TTAGACATGGCATATAACCACACAGATACACACATACCCATAGAGTTTCTAAGTACTTCTAGGTATAGTTTAAATACTTAAGAGTTACATGTGGCTGCAGACTGAACAATTCAGTACAGTTTTGCAAAGTCTTAAACTGGCCATGGCTCTGTAGAACTATTTGTACAGGTTTTTCTTCCCTGTTCTGCTAGTGATTTAAGGGTGTAGGGGATCAAGATACAGTAAACTATCATGTTTACGTTTGTCAAAACCTAACACAGAATACCATTAGAGATTCTGATGAGGTCAGTATCCACACTTTTTTGTTGTTGGTTTTTTGAGACATGGTCTCTACGTAGTCCTGGTTTTTCTGGAGCTTTCTATGTAGACCAGGCTGGCCTCAAACTTACATAAGATCCTCCTGCCTCTGCCTCCTGAGTGTGCACCACCACGACTACATATCTTTTTCATTTTGACTGGTGTACATACCAATCTCAAAGAAATCCCAGTGGTTTTTGTTTTAATCTCTTTTGTGTGACAACAGGTATTGTCCTACCCTCCTGTGAAATGTTGGAATTAACATGGGCCTTTTGTACTTTTTGCTAGTTGGAGTGTGGGCATGGACCTCTGTCATTCTGGCCTCTACTCAAAGTCATAAAATTGTTAAGCATAAAATATGTGGAATCTAAAGTAGTGGTATACTCTTGTAATCAAAGTATGAGAGAGGATGATGATGCAGGATGACAGAGTTTGAGGATAGCCTAGATTAAAAAAAAAAAAAAGCAAAACCCCATCTCAAAAGAAAGTAAAAAATGGCTCGACTGTTAGAAGCATTGGCTATATCCTCTTGCAGATGATTTGGGTTTGATTCCCAGCACCTATATGGTAGAATTGTCTGTAATGCCTGTTCTAGGTGATCCAGTATCCTCTTCTGGCCTCTACAGACACCAGACACATACATGCAGGCAAAACAACCATCCACAGAAAATAAAATCTCTTTAAAAAGTAAAATGGGTGGGGTAGGGTTAATTAGGGGCAAGTACATTTGGCATGTACAAGTTTCTGTATTTGATCTCTAATCCCCTCATCCAAATGAGGAAAATTTTACACATAGTCAGAATGGTCATACCACCATTTCCATAGGAGAGAGTAAAGCTTAAGAAAGATTTATGCTACCATTCAATTTTATTATATAGGAGCTAAAGATTTATAGTGTTGATTAAAAATTTTCTTGGGCCAGGTATTGGTGACACAGACCTTCAATCCCAGCACTGGGGAAGCAGGATGATCAGATGAAGGTGTCCTCTTCAGCTACATAGTGAGCCTGAGACCAGGCTAGACTTTTGTGATTATCTCAAAAACTAAAATGCTTATTGTTCAGCCATAAGACCAGAGGTCAGATTCCTAGGACTGTTGGAAAAATGGGATGCTTAGGTGAACACCAGAGTTGGAAGATGTAGGAAGGGGAGACAAGAGGATCCTAGTACTGGTTAACCAGCTAATTTAGCTAAATATCCTGTATTGACCTCTTAGTTTAGCCCGTGTGCATACATATGTAGACATACCCTCCAACCAAAAAAAAAAAAAAATCGCTTTTTTGATACAAGGTTTCTGTGTATAGCTCTTGTCTATCCTGGAACTCACTTTGAGGACCAGGCTAGCTTTGAACCTGCCTTTTTCCCCGAGTGTTTTGTTTTTTTGCAAGTTAAAAAATTGTAAATTTTTTTTAGAAGGGGCAGTGAGGTACACGGACACTTAGACACCCACATATTCTCTCTCACACACACACACACACACACACTAATTAGTTTTTAAAACCTTAAATTGACTGGACAGTGGTGGCATACGTCTTTAATCCCAGTACTTGGTAGGCAGAAGCAGGCAGATCTCTTGTCAGTTCAAAGGCAGCCTGGTCTACAAAGCAAGTTCCAGGACAGCCAGGGGCTGTTACACAGGGAGGGGAAAAAAATTTAACGGGATGGAGAGATGGTTTGGTTTTTCTGAGATTTGGTCTCATTGTCCAGGCTAGCTTCATTTGCTGTGTAATTAAGGATGACCTCTAGCTCCTGATAATACTAACTCTTGAGTGCCTATCTTTTTTAAATATTTATTTTATTATGTATATAATATTCTGTCTGAGTATATGCCTGCAGGCAGAAGAGGGCACCAGGCCTCATTACAGATGGTTGTGAGCCACCATGTAGTTGCTGGGAATTGAACTCAGGACCTTTGGAAGAGCAGGCGATGCTCTTAACCACTGAGCCATCTCTCTAGCCCCCTTGAGTGCCTATCTTGAGTAATTCACAGGTATATGCCATGGTCTCAGCCTATTTACTTTTTTTTATGGTTTATTTAACTTTATTTTATGTGCAGTGGTGTGAAGATGTCAGATCCCCTGCAACTGGATCTTTAGACAGTTGTGAGCTGCCATGTGGGTGCTGGGAATTGAACCCGGATCCTCTGGAAGAGCAGTCAGTGCTCTTAACCACTGAGCCATCTCTCCAGTCCAGCTATTAACTTTTACTGTTTTTTCTGATACAGTGGGTCTTACTGACCCACAGATGTAGTGATGAACAGTTGTAATCAAGGTTAAAGGGGTAGAATTAGAAGTTTAAGGAAAGTTTGAGCTACATAGTGATTTCAAGATGAATCCTGGCTTAAAAACTAACCCTTCCATTCCGCCCCCCCGGGGTTCGCGCATTTTAGCTAAAGACTAATCCTAGCAGAAATACGAACACTTGAGCTGAAGGGATGGCTCAGAGGTTAAGAGCACTGGCTGCTCTTCCAGAGGTCCCAAGTTCAATTCCCAGCAACCACATGGTGGCTCACAACCATCTATGATGAAATCTGGTGCCCTCTTCTGGCCTGCAGGTATACATGCAGGCAGAATGCTGTATACATAATAAATCTTTTTTTAAAAAAAGGGAAAAGAATATCAGTTAAAAAAAATATTAACCCTTTGAGGAAAAAATTATTTTTTAGAGCTCCTAAGTGAATTTAATGAAAAACTTCCTCCCCCTTCTTTTTGGTGGGGAGAAATAGGAAATTGACCCAGGGCTTTGTGTTTTACCATGTAGCTATATGCCTAGCCTCCTTTAAAAAAAAAAAATCTTTATTAGTTTTTGAGATTTTTATTTTGTGTATATGGATGCTTTACCACATGCATGCAGTATCCTTGGAGGTAGAAGAGGACATAAGACTCCCTTGAACTGAAATTATAGACAGTTGTGAGCCACCAATGTGGGTGTTGGAAGTTGAACCCAGGTCCTCTCTTATTGCTGAGCCATCTTTCCAGCAACCCCCCCCCCCCACACACACAAATAAACAAAGACTAAGCATTCAGGAATGATGGTTTATGTCTAATCCCAAGATTTTGAGAAGCAGAGGCAGGAGGATCAACACTAGTATAAGACTGTTCTGCTCTGTACGGCATGTTCCAGAGCAGCCAGGCCTACATAGAAACAGTTTGCCGGGGAGTGGTGAAAAGGAGAGCAAGGGAAAGTGAGTGAGAGAGGGTGGGGGGTGTCTATTAAGCCTACAGGGGAGGATGTTAAAGCCTAAAATTTTTGTTCTCTAAAAAAATTTTTCATGTGTGCATGTATGTATGCATGCATGTATGCCCACTGCTGTGCCTGCTTGAGGCCTGATGAGGTCAGAGGAGGGCATCAGATTTCCTTGAACTGGAGTTATATAGAGATGGTTGGAAGCCACCAGCACTGTGGGGCTTCTATTGCAAGTACGCTGGATTTCCAGCCTTTCAGCTCTAGAACAGCTCTGATTACAGTGACCAGTGTCTCAAGACTCTAGCCATCTTTGTTCAGCTGTCTGTTTCTGAAACCATACTGCTCTGCTCAACTTTTCCTTCTACATTTTACATTTACTCATTTGAATTTTGTAGCTCAAACACAACTGGGAAAGAATCAGAAGACACTAGTAGTAAATAACAGTCACTCAATTAGGAAAAGATTAAATGTTAGAAACATTTATTTGTCCAAAAAAAAAAAAAACAAACAAAAACGGAAGGAGTGGAGCAAAACAAGGCTAAATTTCAGCTAACGCTATATACCACGATCACAGGTCAGACAAAACTGGGAAAACCAAAACAAAACAACAAACCAAAACAACAAAACCCCAATGGTCCTAGCAACTTCAGATGATTAGCTTCAGTGTTAGAGTCCAGAGCTAACACAAGTTAAAGGCTGCTTGCCACTACATGGTCGTTTTAAAGGGAGAGGAGATGCTGTAGAAGGCAGGGAGAAGGGCTCAACTCCTAGGGAAAGCAAGATTAAGAGGGGTTCCACTGTACAGGAAAGAAGGGGATGCCAGCATAATCCTTACCTAGTGCTGTTCAGAGGCTGAGAATATACGGAACAGAGTGAAAGGCTATAGACAACTAGCATCAAGGAAAGAAAAGTCAACTTAGAAGAATTAAATTAAGAAAGAAAACATAGTTGGTCACAAATTCCTTTGTTTACTGAAACATGAAGCAATGGAAACATCCCGGCAAAGGGGACCACGAGGACCAAGTTCTCATATATGATCGCAGCCCGAGGGTTCAGTCCGCAATTATCCTACCTGAAAGAAAGCACAACACAAGAGGCTTACACAATGCCTGGAGAGCAAGCAGCCTGGTTCCGAGTACAAGGGCCCTGGTCCCGTCCTGTATTCCGGGGTGGAGGGGGGGGGGGGGAAGAGGGAAGAAACAAAGAACAAAACAAAATCAAGTCAGACTGGGTTGAATGTATAGCCCCGAAAAATCACCCAGGAGCCTAATAGCTACATCTAGGAATCTACTTAGAGCTGTATGCTGCACAAGATGCAAAACTGCTGATAGTGATAAACTCAGCTTTCTGTTAACTTAGGTAACCCAACCCCCTTTAGTAGAAGGCTACCACTGCTTCAAAGAAGGTATGAATTTTTCAATAACTACAGATTAATTCTGTAAGAATTTTGTCCGGGGAAAAAAAAGCAAAAGATGCTAAGAACGAGGTACAGTAATTTTTTTTCTTTCTTAAGAGATGGGATTTAATTATGTTGCTCAAGATGACCATGAACTTCTGTTTTAAAGTAATCCTGAGTAGATGGGACTACAGGCATCCACCACCCATGCCCAGCCCAATTTTAGTATTACAAATGTTCAAAGAAAACATTCAGAAAAACAGTCACAAAGACTAGCGTCTCAAAGAACAGTTGGTCATTCACCCTTTAAGGTTTCTACTTGTCACACTGTCAGTTCAGAACTATAGATGCAGTAGTTTCCTAATTGACCAAATATCCCTTGACAAATCAAAAGAAGAAACCACTGCTAGGACTGTCTAATTCCTCCATTGATGATGGGAACTCCAGACACCAATGGCTGGGGGAAAAAAAAAGTTAACTCACACCAAGCTCCTCTACTTAATACAGACACAGGGCCAAATCTTGGTCTTGATCTGTGCCAATCGACTTCAAAAGCTGTGATGTTCTTGGATCAGTTCTGTTAGGGTGAGACCCGAATTTGGATCTCCAACAGTTGTGGAGTATTTCATCCTGGCAGCCTCATTAACATCAGGCTCCTGGGACTGCAACCAACTCAGGGTTATTCAGTCCATTTGAGGTTCACACCTGGAAGGTAAGTTTCTTTAAAAGTCATCACTAAAAAGAGGTTAGTTGAACAGCTACTGATTGAAGTTAAATTCATTTTCAAAATGTTCTAACCACACCCTTAAAGGATATACTAACTTAATATTTAACTTTGAAACATATTTGAGAAACAAAGTCATCTAACAGATTAATACTAACTTTATCAGAGGTATCTCACAGAGTAGATCCAGCTGTAGAAATTAATATCAAACTACATTTACATGCTGAACACATGACTAAATGATGGTCTTAAGAAATCCCAAGTCTTACTAACACAACTGTACAGCATATAACTTAACAAACATGGCATTGTTTTCTTAACACATATACAAAATCAGGGGATAAGTTGGGAACACTGGTGTCTCAGTGGTAACTTATTTAACCACATGGCTGGGGCTCTAATTCAAGTGACACGCTACTTGAAAGTACAAGGAAAACCATGAGAGAATTGTGCATTGTAAATGCCGTTTCCATTCTAGTGAACTTGTCTCTGAGTATCCCCAATTCTTATCATTCCAACACTCTTAGTACATTTTCTGAAATAGGGAAACAAGTTTCCAGTGTCACCACTTACAAGATTTTTACACATAAGAAATGATCAATTTATCTAACTCCTTGAGAAAATGAAACTTGCTAAAATAAACAGGAATTCTGTCATAGGCTACAAAGAAATGGGGCTTAAGTGCTGACATCAAACATGGTCTGCGCTGGAATAAGGACTTCACGGAACATATGAAAACATTGAGAACTGAAGTGTCTTAAAACATTAGGTCTTTATCCGACTTAAAAAAGTAACACACCAAAGAGCATAATTTATAGGATAATAACCCAAGAAATAGGTTTTGTTGAGACAGGAGTCTCCTATTTTTCTAGACTTTGCTAGAACTTGCTGAAACTTAGGCTATTCTCTTACCATAATCCTTTGGCCTCATCCTCGTACAGAGATTACACATATGCACCACTGTATGCTACTCCAAGAAGTGCTTTATTAGCAAACCCCTGAAGATTCAAAATTCTCACTGTGCTGTCCATTACTAGCTCCCTGATGTACCCTTTACCATCCCACCACAGCAGTTTAGTAGTGGCGATAGTATGATTTTATTATTTCGGTTTTTCAAGGCAGGGTTTCTCTGTGTAGCCCTGGCTGTCCTGTAACTCGCTCTGTAGACCAGGCTGGCTTCAAACTTGAGAGCTCTCTGCCTCCCAAATGCTAGAAGTAAAGGCGTGTCCCAATACCACCTGCCTGGAAAGAGTGAATTCAAGAGGTCCCAGTCTGAATTTTGGCTCTACCTCTCTTTTACTAGATTATCACAGGCGAAGTGCTGATACACTCTAAGACTTAGTTCTTTCCTGGTGAGGAAATTGCTGTCTATACAACAAAGGGCCAGTATATGTTAGCTCCCCTCCCCCATACCAGCTTACAACGTTTTTTCCTTTTTGTTTTTTTGAGACAGGGTTTCTCTTTGTAGCCCTGGCTGTCCCGGAACTCATTATGTAGACCAGGCTGGCCTTGAACTCAGAGATCTACCTGCCTCTGTCTCCTCAGTACCAGGATTAAAGGCATGTGCCACCACTGCCTTGCTTGTATACAACTTTTTAAATAATATTCTCAGTAACTGAGCTTGTTCCTATTTCAGAAGTAACACATTGGAATCATACTAATTCCTCAAAAGGACAAATAACCTGTGGCCTAAACTACGAGAAATACTGAAAGCATGTAATTTGTGCATTTTGGGTATGGTTGTTTGGTCCTCTGGCTCCTCCATGAAGCAAAGGTCTCTTGTAGGGAACTAAATGTAAATTTCAACCATATCCACCCCACTCTCACCTCCAGTTTTTAAAAGGCTGAGTACCGTGCTCGGTCCACATACTGCTCCCGCTCATACCGGGCCATGTCATACAGAGAATTCCGTGTTGCTGCTGAAGCCTGAGACATCTCACTCTCTGGCCCATAACCGTAGCCCTCTCCAACTGTAGGGAGCACAGCTGCATTCCGACGTAGTGGGCTTCTGTCCCTTCCATAATAGGAGGAAGAGACAGCAGCAGCCATGGCTGCTGAGGTGGCAGCTGAGCTGGAGTTCTGCAATAGGTGTCTGTCATATGGATCAACAGAAGTGGAGTTGAGGTGACTGGGTACAGCTGAGCTCTGGACTTGAGGAAGATGAGACATAGTCTGCTCTGCATAATTGTATGCAGAAGCTGCAGCCGCTGCAGCCACAGCTTCGTAAGATCGGACCCGGTAGCGCTTATAGTAGTCAAGTGCTCCATAGGCATCGTTGTAATACACGGATTCCCCATAACCCATGGTATAGGGCGTGCGCACTGCTCCATACTGTTCATTGTACTGTTCAGTAAAGTCTGCCACGCGCCCTGTACGGTCTACCGGGCACTCTTTGGACCAGTGTCCTTCTTTCCCACACCGATAGCAGCCACTCTGGTCTCCCATCCCGGGCGCAGTCCTAAGTCGGCTGGTGGACAACTGCACGTGCATTCGTTTGCCTTGAAGAAACAGATTAAAAGTATTGTTACTCATTAACTTTCTTTTCTCTCACCCAAATAAAAGTAAACATAAAATATACATAATACATACACATTCCTGTTACCCTATTTCATTCAGCAATCCCTTCCAAAGAAAGTAAGGTTCAACAGAAGTGAGAGCTAGATACTGGAGTTCTTAGAGACTAATTACTATTTAATGCCAGTAGCATATCAGACTCTCCCCTACTTCCATCTCCACAATCTATTTTCTTCCTCCATGCAAAGACTGCTGGTTTAACTACTTCCAAATCAAACTGAATAGCTAACAAAACCTCACTTATCAGTAGGTTTAGAAGGCATCTTTCCCACCTCTAAACAATTCATGTTAGTTCTGAGCTCAATGGAAAAAGCATATGCCTGCTAGCATGTATGACACCCTGGCCTCAACCTCCAGCACTGGATCCCCCCCAAACCCTACAAATAATCCCAATTCAGCAGCTGTCTTCTGTCCACCATGTTTTCACCCAGGAATGTGTGCAGGTGCTATGTTGGATATCCAGATCACACTTGGCTTATCATAGGCTTTACCTGTACTTGAGGGAATTAAAAGAACCTCTATAGATTTCAATTCCACCCGTTTTTCCCCCTCAGGATCAGAACAAAGCCTCTTAGGAAGGGGGAAAAAATTTGATTGAATTTGCCTTTCATAGATTGAGTCCTTTTTTTTTTTTTAAAGAGAAATAAAATACTGTGATTTTACCTAATTATCTCAGCCCTATCCTACTTTTTAACTTAAGGGAATGCTTTACTTCATCAACATTTGTGGCAAAATCTCCTTCTGTAGTTGTAAAAAGGATGCTAGTAATTCTTTTGTTTTTGATCTACAGCTAGAGACACCTGTAATATAAATGATAGGTGGCTTCATTGTTTTAGATTCTTTCCAAAGGTTGCTGGGGCTTTCAATTTAAATTTGGATTCAAGTAGTTTCATCACTCTACTAGATGCGGGACTTAAGTTCTTAAGGTGTTCTTAAGGTTTCTTAAACCTCCAAGTTACTGAAATCTGCCAATATTTTCCAGAAAACCAGCCCACTAAAAGTGTTTTCTCTTCGAAGCTGCAACAAAAGAGAATATTAAAATGCCAGAAGTTGGGAAACTCTAATTTCTGAAACTCTGCCTAGGGAAGGTGGGAAACTTAATTCTAATTTCTGAAATTTTATCTTGGGTCAGAGTCCAAAGACTTGGAGATGTAGCTGACATAATAATGACCCCACTGATTTAATGCTGAAACGACACCCTAAATTCTTACATATCCTTCCCAATTCAGCTGCCCGGATGGTTACTTGGGAACAGCTTCGTTATGATTTCCAATTCAAACTGCATTCACTGCTGCCTGTGGAGAGGAAACATCTTGAAAGACCCAGGTAAACTCGGATTCTATCTTTAGAAGCTACACAATGCAGAGACATAAGTTTTAGATAGTCATTAATACACAGAAGTAAAAGTTCAAAAGATGCTCAATATGGCACTAAAAGGTGCCCAAAAAGGCTTTAAATTAAACAAAATGCCAAACTGGCATCTCCACTGTATCCACTGTATTTTCTGTAAGATATGTGAAGGAATTATACATATAACCCCAGTACTCAGAAGTCTGAAGCAGGAGGACTTTGAGTTTAAGAGCCAGCCTAAGCTATACGTCAAGACCCTGTCTCAACAAACAAAATTCATTATCCAATACTAAATTTTCTGTTGCCACCTGGAAAAAAAATAGTTCATTACAAAAATATCTGCATGTATAACTTGGGAGTAAACCAGTATCTCGAGAAGAGCCAGAAAGAGAATGTGAAACCAAATAAATGATTCCTCTTTTCAACTCAGTTTATTGTTTGTACTTTCTATGGAAGTGATTATTTATATTATATATATGTACATATATAATAAAAATATTTTCATGGCATTATTTATATCCCTGTTTCCTATGTAATTATATTTGTTATTACGCAAATATAAGGGTCAAAGAGCATAGTTCAGGAGTACTGTGTACATAGCATACTCAAGACCCTGACGGGGTCAATGTTCAGCACCCCACAACCAAACAAAAAACCACATTACTCAGACTTCTAAGCTAACTTCTATTTCCCCATTTTCTTTAAAAATTAAAAGGGCATTTACTATTATACTGTGGGAATTTATCTGCAAAATGAGTACATTATTTTAAGTTTTTTTCCATTTTGTTTGTACCTGATAAGCAAACCCTTCAGGGATGGGAACATATAGGCCAATGGTAGAGTATTAGCCCAGCATTTGTGGGGCCTCCAGATGATGCCAAACCAAAGGGGTGAGGCAACAAAACTCCTTCCTTACTTTCTCGTCTGTCCATGACCACCTTCCACAGCAAGTGAAAATGATTAAGAATGTGATTAACAATGTTTTCAAAGTTGAAGTGTGCTAGTATTGTTCCAAAATAAAAATACAAATTAAAAAAAAAAAAAAGTTTAAGGCAGGTAGGTGGTGGTGGCTTAAACTCTTGAGTTGGATTCCATCCTGGTCTTCAAAGTGAGTTCCAGGACTTATACAGAGAAGCCTTGGGTGGGGGAGAGGGAGAGGGAGTTTAAGCTATCAGATTTTAAATATTTTCTAACCCAAATAGAAGAAAAATCATGGTTGCAAATAGTGCTCATCTTTCATTATATATTGCTTTTACTGCCAAAATACACTTATTACCTCATTCTAATTTCACTACCATTCTTTGAGGGAGCCCCATCAGAGATCATTATTTTATAACGGGGGAAAAGCACAGGGGGTACACTTGTCAACGTGCTGGTTAAGGGATTAACTGCAACTTGTGCCCTAAGCTTTCAGTAGCTAAAGACCAGGGCATCAGTGATGAAGGTAGAATCACATGACAGTGAGCCTCCAGTGAGCTTCACTATTTGCATACTTAGACTTTCCTGATTAACTTTCCCTTTTTCCCATGATCTCATTGTTTTCTAGGTTTAGCAGAGAACCTTTGTATATTTAACTTTTTTTAGTTGGTATTTAGGGCAAAAAGGGTGTTGAGGTTAAAAACTAGAAAAGTAGCCTTGAATATGTGGTCCAGGACAACATACTGTAGACAAAGCATTGTAGAATTGTGCTAAACTATGAACTTCCTGCAATGTGGGTCTGCTGCATTTCCTAATACAGTAGTCATTTCCCCCATGGCTCGCTCCTGTATTCTTGAAATATGCCCACACTGGAAAAATCAATTTTGAAACTTTACTTCAAGTAAGTGAAATTTACTTAGCCCCATGTAGTTATTGGCTACTATAGTAACACAATTCCAGGGTTTTCAGACAAGATCCTGTGGTATTAATGATAATACATAATACGTGTTGTCGATATAAGCAATACAGTAAGCTCTATGATGTCCTCACTGGAATTTACCCAGACCACATTCCTGTTCAAGCTTGAACTTCTAAAGATTTTTTTTAACCTGCTAGAGGTAAGTAATAACAAGTGAAGAAGAACCTATGACATGTTTCCTGGTTTTGCTAGTAGTCCACAGACTCAACAAATTTCGACACCCCAAAGATACCCATCTCCCCCAACCAGACACACCACAGATTTCTCATATAGTGCTTCCTCTAGATTACCCCTTTTCTCTTTGCTACTATCATCCATCATTCAAAGTATCAGAATATAAAAAAACTAAAGTTTCTGGGTCACAACAAAAGCAGCATCCAAGTTATGACCTTCAGCCCTTCTCACACGCCCTGCCTAGGCAGCTTAGACTTCTAGCAGCACTCAAGTGAATGAAGACCAAATAAAGTAACCCATAATTGTGGAGAAACATCTTTGCAAAATAATGGGAAATGTTTACTTCCCTAAAAGTAAATTATACTTAATAGTAAACATAATCTACCCATGTCAATGAAAAGAGCCCCATGGTCTTAATGTTCTTGCTTCTGCCTTAAGCTAGACCCCATAAAGCTCTGCCACCCAAGCCCCAAAACAGTTCACCTTGAAACTCTGTGTTGTCAAGGCCCCTGATGGCCTCCACTGCATCCTCTGCCCGCTCCATGTGTACAAAGGCATAATCTTTCACGATGTCACATTCAATGACTGGGCCATATTCCTCAAACTTGGCCCGAAGCTCTTGGTTGGTACAAGTGGGACTGATGTTGCCCACATGTAACTTGGTTGAAGCTTTGCTCTTATTCTTGCTGGCTTCCACATTGATGTTCACTCCGTGCAGCTTGTAGTGATGCAGGTTGCGTATGGCATCCTCAGCGGCCGTCTTGTCCTCTATGTGCACAAAGCCATAGTTCTTAATGATGTCACATTCCAGCACCTTCCCGTACTGCTCGAAGAGTGAGCGGATCTCTTGCTCTGTGGCCTCCCGGGGCAGATTTCCAATGAACAGCTTCACCATCCTGACAAGAGCCTGACAGATTACAAACAAGATTTCAAAAGTCAGGCGTGAAGTTGAGACATTGCATAGCAATGCACCATTTCCGTTTAATGGCCCAATTATTAATATCTTCCCAACCGTAACATAATTATTCCTTTTGAGAGCAGAACAGCAGTTTTTTTCCTAAGTAGTGCCAGCTGTGTGACAATGCTAACAGAAGATAGGAGGTCACAAAGCACGACATGGTCCAACATCTCTGAGGTCAGGCACATCTAATCTACAAGGTTAGCAGCTTCAGGGTTTAGCACAAGGAAGAAAGCGCCAAGCAGAAAGCAAGAAACATCTGAACGTCCCTAGTTACAAGATTTTGGAGGGAAATCTGTGTGCCTCTCCACAGCGCGGTCTCACCTCCCACAATATTCTGAAAAGCCCTCTTTTCGCCCCACACCTGAACCCCTGTCCTCAGCAGCCCAACCTCCAGCTCCCACTGCCCAACAAAGACTCGTCCCGACCCCTGCCCCGCCCCCTCCGGAGACCCGGTCCCGCCTCCTTTCGTTGTCTTCCCGGGACCGTCCTCAGAAGATGAGCGGCCCCAATGCCCGGCCTACCCGGCCCTCCCGTGGTCCGGCCAGGCCCGCTCCCGGGCTCCCCACACACCCACAGCATCTTTCCTACCTCCGGGTGGTGCCGGCGGTGGCGGCGGGTCCCGCGTCAGAGAGAACCCTACAAAATGGCGACGGCCGCTCGAGCCTCGGCGCGACCGAGCGCTTTCTCGCGCGCCAGCTCACGTACGCGCGAGTGCGCGCTGCCTGCCTCCCCTCCCCCTCGTAGGAGCGGGGCGACCAATCCTGCGGCCGCACACAAATGGCCGCCCCCGTGTGGGGGCGGGGTCATGCGGTGACGGCACTGCGGAGAGGAGGTCAGCCCGCCCCCAGCCCCGGCTAGCCAATCATCACCCTGGGAGAGGGTCGCGGCTGGCCCGTCAAAAGGGCTCAGGAAGCAACCACTGCCTCGGCGAAACCGTAAGCCCAGGGGAGCCTCACCATCACAATGGAGCGTGCTATTAGCCCACTGTCGAGGGAGGCCGATGACAAAGGGCTGTCTCACTGGACCCGCTAGAAGGGGGTTTTCTCCACCTCTGTGGCGGCTGAGAGCGGCACTTCAGAAGTCTAGGCACCCCATCTTAACCCAGTCTCTGCCTCGTTTGGGTGGGAGGGAGCGAGAACTCCCTTAGAACAACTTAATTCTCAGGCATTGTGTTGTTCCTTGGCGAGGAAGTTGAGATGAGAGTCGAGGGGCGGAAAGATGATCTGTGACAGAGCTGGGTTAGGTCTTAGTGTAATGATCTGTAATCCGTTACACTGAGGAAGGCATTTCTCTATCCAAACTATACTTTGTCGTGTTTATTCGTGAATATACGTGGGCTGGGCTTTCCCTCTCTCGTATATCTGTCATGGTTCCTGAAATGAGCACTCCCCAAAATACATGTGGTGAAGAAGTCCAGAGAGATTCCCGGTTTGGGGCTGTGAGTGTGTCAAGGGGCTCCACATCCAAGCTGTCAAAGGCACGGGCTGTTGTCAAGCTCCTGACTTTCAGCTGCGGTCCAAGGGCACCTCCTGGTGGCAGCAGGGCACTGGCTCTGTGGATTGCTCACTATCCCATTCAACAAAACAAAGCGTAGTCGTTTAGGGAGATGGATGGATGGAGTTTATCTCCTAGTAGAGGTCCTAGGATGGGGGTTAAATAGCATTCCCCATTGTGGTAGTTTCAACGTCAGCCTCCAATACTATAAAGACCAGGTCCCCAAACTACTTGGAAACATTTCGTTCACAAAATCCATCTTTCCCAGTCATTCCAGAAGCCACCCTCTTTCCAATTGTAGTAACAGACACACATATTTAAAATTAAAATATCTCGTTTTTGTTTTGTAAAACAGTTTCTCTGCGTAGCCTTGGCTGTCCTGGAATTCGCTCTGGGTCTGCTACCACACAACTTTGCATTTTGGGTTCTGTCCTTCCCAAATTTCCCGAGTTCTCCACAACTAATATTCTGCTTACAGTTACCATCTGTCTCTAACATTTTCATTTTACTCCCTCTTTTTTTTTCCATTTTGAGATGGCCTTACTATTTAGCCAAGGGCTGGCCAAGAACTGGCTGTGTAACCCAGAACAACCTTGAACTCACAATTCTCCTACCTCCACCTCCCAAGTGCTGGGAATTACAGGTGTGCACCACTATTTCTATTCTCTGGTTTTTCTTTTAAAAAAAATTGAAAAAAATTGAGTGGTGGCACACACCTTTAATCCCAGCACTTGGGAGGCAGAGGCCAACAGAGCTCTGAGTTTGAGGTCAACATGGTCTACAGAATTCCAGTACAACTAGAGGTACACAGAGAAACCTTGTTGAGAAAAAGAAAAGTTACGTGTATGTTTGTGTCTGTGTGAATGTATGCAATGCGTGTGCAGGTGTCCAGAGGCCAGCAGGTGTCAGATCCCCTGGAGTTTGAGTTACAGGTGTCTGTGAGCTGCACGATGTGAGTGTTGGCAACCATTTTTGGGTCCTCTACAAGAGCAGCAATTGTTTGAACTGCTGAGCCGTCTCTCCCACTCCTTTTAATGCATGTATTTTTTCAATTCATTTAAAACTTTTCATCGTGGAAAATTTCAAAACAAAACAAAGCCAAAAACAAACCCATAAATGTAGACTTGTGATTAATTCCTCTGGACCTTTTGTCTGGCTTCAGCATTTCTCCCAGCCTTTTATACACACAATGTAATATTACCTGCGTTATTATTATTCGTAGTACTGGGGACCGAGCCCGGGATCTTTTCTGAACTATACTGCCACCACATGTGTTATGTCAATATCATCTAATATTTGTGCTCAAATTTTCCCTAGATTGTCACAAATTCCATTTTTAGTTTACTTCTTTGCTGAACCTAAACAAGATTCCCCACTGTTCGTTTGTGTAAATTATGTAAATGGTATGTGTATAGCTAATTATTTCTTGCTTTCTTCCCCACTACATGATGTGTTAGGTCTCATTTCTGTTATAGCCTTGCTTCAGCCATGCTTTTCACCTTCCCTGTGTAGGTGATAAGATGCTAGAATTGCTTCAGCCCCTCAGCATCATAAACTGGGCTGACTAGCAACCTCTGTGCTCTAATGTAGACATTAGACTGTGGGGAATGTAGACCCAGAAAACTAACATGTCGAAGTATAGAGGACAGCTCCTACACAGCTGCACCTGGCTCCTGAATGTGGACAGGTAGCCTTCGTTCTGCCCTTTGTCTTCAGCACCTTCTATTTAACATATGTGAATCGTGTCTGACAGCTTTCCAAAGGTGCAAAGCCTATGCAAAATTTGGTTTGGAAAACTACAGTATTCCATATCAAGAATTTGCATTTGGGGGGCTGGAGAGATGGCTCAGAGGTTAAGAGCATTGCCTGCTCTTCCAAAGGTCCTGAGTTCAATTCCCAGCAACCACATGGTGGCTCACAACCATCTCTAATGGGGTCTGGTGCCCTCTTCTGGCCTGCAGGCATACACAAAAGACAGAATATTGTATACATAATAAATAAATATAAAAAAAAAGAATTTGCATTTGGCATTGTCCCTTTGGAAAACTTAAGATGTTTTGGGGATACGGAAATCAACTTGCTAAGGTATAAATTGGAGAATAATAAAGAAGCCCTTTGGGCTGGAGAGATGGCTCAGCGGTTAAGAGCATTGCCTGCTCTTCCAAAGGTCCTGAGTTCAATTCCCAGCAACCACATAGTGGCTCACAACCATCTGTAATGAAGCCTGGTGTCCTCTTCTGGCCTGCAGACAGAATACTGTATACATAATAAACAAATAAATATTAAAAATAAATAAATAAAGAAGCCCTTTGCTAAGGGAAAGTGTCTCAGTCCGAGAAGAGGCTGAGTCCCCTGCAGCTGGAAAGGCTAAAATCATCCCTGGAGTGCCACTGCTTACTTTCTACAGACCCGCATGAACCCACACCCATTCCAGGTCATCTAAGTAGAACCAAGTCCCCAGAAAAGCTCTGCTAGCATATCCTCCCTCTTTCTTGTAACACGTAAGGGACACCGTTTTTCCATCTTTACCAAGGTTGACATTTGTTTCCTGATTTTTTTTTTTTTTTTTGGACAGGGTTTCTCTGTGGCTTTGGAGCCTGTCCTGGAACTAGCTCTTGTAGACCAGGCTGGCCTCGAACTCACAAAGATCCACCTGCCTCTGCCTCCCGAGTGCTGGGATTAAAGGCATGCACCACCACCGCCAGGCTGTTTCCTGATTTTTGTCAAAGAGCTATAAGGTATTATTCCCAACTTTCTTTGTTTTTGTCCCATAACTAAGGATTTTGAAAATACCTTCTTATTCTTAAAGTCTTGGAGCTTGTGCTCATATTAATTTCCTGCCCCTATCTTCTGCCTATATTTCAGGTTACAGGCTTTGTGTTGAGCTGTAGGACTTTGCTACAATTGTGGATATTTCTTATTAGCTTCAAATATCTTGTCTTTCCACTATTATCTTTGTCTCTGGAAGTAAATTTTGTTTTGTTTTGTTTTGTTTGAGACAGGATGTAAATCATTTTTAAAATGTAACAATTAATTATTGTTTCATAAAGCTTGCTCTTTTATGTTCTCCTACCACAAGTCATATAGTCTTGTTCTCTTCCATTTTCATTTCTTTTCATGTTTATGTCTGTGGTCTATTTTGAACAATGCTAGCTAATGGAGATATAATGAGTCATATTAATAATTCAAAAAGAACTGGGAAAATGGTTTATGGTTATAACTCAATGGTGAAGCATTTATCTAGCATACACAAGGCCCTGAGTGTCATTCCTAGCACCACAGTAAATAAGTTAAACACAAATTTCCAAAAAACATCAAACTATAAAAATTTGAAATCTATTTTTAATAATTTTGACATTTCATCATGTATTCAATATAAAACTGAGATATTAGAATTCCCTCTAAAGTCCTTGAAATCTGTTATTTCATACCTTCAGTACACCAAAGTTTAGATTTGTCACACTTTGCGTATTCTGTAGACCCATGTGGACAGTGGGCCAACACAAGTTGAATCCACCCTTGTCAGTGGTGTTCAGTAAAAATGCAAACAAGTTCGTTCCTACGTAGCCTATCCACTTTCATTTGTTCCTACTCCCCACCAGTATGCAGGGCAACTCTAATGCTGCTTTTGTGCCCTAACCTTTCTCGTATCCCTTGGGCCCCATTCATCTACCATCTTTCCTCTCTTCCACCAACATTCAAAAGTTTCTCTCTTGAAGACTTGCTTCCTAGCCCCATGCTTTTCCTCTTCTCCTTTCTGCCCATATGGAATCATACTAGGAAGCAGTTTCAACTGCCATATGTGTACATGATTCTCACCTAATTCCTGTCTTTCTTTTTCAGTCACATGACTTTTCTGCAGTAACACCTCAGTAATCATTTTTCCATTAACCTCTCTCTCGCACATACTACGTTTGTTTTTAAACTTTTCAGTTAGTTTTTCCCCAAGCCACATAATCTGCGCCCTCCACAGGGACTCTCCCACATCTAACAGGAGGTATCATAACTGTACTTGAATCATGGGCAAAGGTGTCTGAGTCCTGCTAATTACTGTTCTGTCTGTGGATGGGCTATTAATGCTGTACTTATGCATGTTTACTGTGGGGGACTGAATCCACTTATCTTAAGAGAAAGGATGATTACCCTGTGAATGATCTGTTCTGCCAGATCTGATAAATGAAGCCCATTCTGGAGCTGTGTGGTGCTAGTTCCTACCCTGCATACA